TCCAAAAGAATAAACCAAGCATCTGAATTACCTCTTTTAAACACTCCATTCCAAATGTTCATACCATATTTAGCAACAATGCATCTATGCAGCAAAGATGAAGGATTTTGAGAGAACCTCCAAGATAGTCTAGCTCTTAGAGGCCCAATTTTGTGGACAGCAGAATATACACCCATACCGCCCAAATTCTTGTGTTTATATAAGTCCTCCCAAGCAACATAGTGAAGGCCTTGTCTACCATGCTCCTTATGCCAAATAAAGTCACGACAAAGTCTATCCAATTTATGAAGAACATTTTTTGGGACCAATGAGTGAGTTGATGTAAAAATAGGCAAAGATAAAAAGGAGGACTTAATTAGAACCATCCTATATGCCAAAGATAAGAATCTAGAACCCCAAGCATTAAGCTTTTCCAAGGCATAATCAATGAAGGATTCAAAATCATTCTTCACCATCCTCCTTAAGACAATTTTAATGCCCAAGTAATGAAGCTCATAACCCTCCATAATAGTCCTCATCCTTAGATTATGATAGATCATTCTTAGACTCCTCCACTTTTCGTGTAATGTTCTTTTCTTTTCGCTATTCTCATGCATCAATCTTCATTTGACTCACTCATTACTCGTAGGTAATTAGTAAATTAAGAAGATTATCAATATAGTAAATATTCAAATCTTTAGACTTTGTAATAACAGTTATTTTAACATCATATACAGTAGGCAAACAATGAAGAATTTTGTTAACCATTTCAACGTTCATTAGTTCCCTACCCAAAGCATGAAATGAAGTGACGATCTGAGTGAATCTTGTATACATATAAAAAATAGAATCATTTGATTTCATATAAAATAATTCATAGTCATGTAACAAGATGTTTAGCCTAGATCTCTTTACTTCATTTGTCCCTTCATAAAAAAATAAAGTTTATCACATATGTCTTTTTCACTTTTACAAGTGGAAACCCGCATGTAGTCTTCTGACTTAAGTGCACAAAAGAAACTATTTAAATATTTTATATTAAGTTTTGCTAAGTCATGTTCTTCTATAGTCCAATCTACAAAGGGTGTTTCAACTCTAATATCATTAACTAATCTAGTTAATTTTATATATCATTCTTGAACTAAGATCCACATACGATAATTTAGTGAGTATAAAAAAGTAGACATGAGTATTTCCCAAAAATTGAAAGAAATGTTATCAAATAAAAGAAGTCTAGTGATCAAGTAATATTTTGGTGTGTTCTGTTTTTGAAAAATAGCCATTCTCATTTTTTAAAAAGTAGTCTAAACTTATAATTTTGCAACAATGCTCTGATACCACTTGTTGAATCTAGATTAGATTGTTAAACCTAAACAAATGTCTCAAGGCTAACCAAGAAGGGGGTGAATTGGTAATTTAAAAAAATCTCTTGGATTTAAAATTTGAATTCATTGATTTATAAAACAAGTTAATTAAAGTTTTAAATTTTAAAACTTTTCAACCACAGAAAAAAAACTTGTAATAAATAAAATATAAAAATTTAAATGACATAAAAATTTATAGTAGTTCGGTCAAATACGACCTACATCCACTCCCTGAAGACTCTCTCTTTAAGTATTACACTATTATCAAAAGTGTCTCTCTTTTTGTCCCATAGCAAAGGAAAAGAAGCCTTTACAAAAACTCTCTTTCACCAATCCCCAGTGCGGTAGAGAACCATCATTCTTTCATACCCTCCAAGTGTTGGTAGAGAACCATCATCCTTTCACACTCTCCAAGTGTCAGCAGAGAACCGTCATCCTTTCGCACTCTCAAAGTGTCAGTAGAGAATCATCATCCTTTCACACTCTCCAGGTGTCGACAGAGAACCATCGATTATTCACACTCTCCAAAGGTCGATAGATCGAGGACATACCGTCATCCTTTTATACCCTCTAAGTGTCGGCAGAGTACCAGATTTTCTCCAAAGATCTTCTCACGAGAAATCTAAAAAATAAGAGGAAGAGTGAAAAACACAAATCATATAGAGATCCTTACCTTTGAGAAACCTTGTGAGCCCTTCATACTCCACTAGTAAGAAAGCTCTCTCAAACACTCTCTCATACTCTCTCCTTTATTTGTCCTTGAAAAATCATGAAGACTAGACTTTTATGTTAGTTTTTAGTGGACCTTTTATACAAAAGACATAAAAAACCATCCAAAAAATTGAAGTTTTCAATTTTGAGAGTATACGATCGTATAATATGATCAGATTTCATGCATATGAATAATTCAAATACTATTGCTTACGAAGCTATTATGAATCGGTACAAAATCATTTTGTACCCGGTCATCATCCGGTACAAACGAAGTTCGTTCAGGATGAATAGTTAGAAAATTTCAAAATTCATATGTATGAAACATCGATATAAAATGGGACCTCACATTTTTGTACTCTGTAAGGCATATACAAACTAGGTTTGTACAGAACGATTCATACTTAGAAAATTTATTTTTACACGACCAGAAACCGGAGAAGTTCATACTTGTTAAAGCATGTACGAACTGGGTTCATACAGTATCATTCATACTTAAAAATTATTTTTTATGTGACCTGAAACCCGAGAAGTTCATACTCGTGAAAGCATGTATGAACTTGATTCGTACAATACGATCCATAAAAAAATTTCATTATGTTCGTTCGACTGCTCGTCGGGAAAAATAACTGACCAGATCGTCCCATATGAATGAATATCGTACAGTACGATCAGTTTAAAAAATATAAATTTTAAACTCTCCCACAGTGTGTTTGTGCTTAATTACTCAATTATAATCACACTCTCTCATACTTAATAAATGAAAAATAAATACTTTAATTACAATAAACTATAAACTGATGTTTATTTGAAGTCTTCAATAATCCATAGTATGATTTTCCTGAAATGTTAGTACACACAAGAGCAAAACAATTCTTCTAAATATGTTAGGAGAAATAATAATCAAAGTTATAATATTTAGAATCATAAAAAACATACAAGTTGTAAGAATATCAAACATGTAAAAACTAACAACTATCTCAACAAGGATTGGGGCTCACCTTTGGACAGCATAATTTTGCATCACTGGGGTCTAGTGTGGTCGTTTCCTCTTCTTGAATCAATGTGACAAATCTTTGAGTTTGCTAGGTCGATGCAATATGTCCAAATCTATGGCATTTAAAATATTTTCTCGCAGCAACACAGTTTGAGGAGGGGTCTAACTTGGTTGTTTAATAGAAATATTTCCCTCGTTAGATGTAAAAGCTCTGCCTACTGTGGATCTGATTGGATGGAAGGTCTTCTCAGCAGCTACTTCCCATGATATGGGTGGAGAGACTTAGTAAATTTTTGCTGTCTTTCCACTTTTAAGGCTTTAAGGCCAAATTGATTACATCTTGAAATGTCCAATAGTGATGCAGTTGTACAACATGAGCAATTATAGGTTGCAGACTTCAATAAACCTTACAATAGTATTTTCGATTGGTTCGACCAGATCACATTTGAGTGATAGCTGCTTAAATTCAGCCACATATTTCTCAACTGTGAATTGATGTTGTTGTAATAGATGCAATCTCAAGAATAATTCTTGACAATATTTATCAGTTAAATATTTTTTTCTACAGTTCTTTTTTCATCTTTTCCTAACAGGTGATCTTGCTATGACCTTCTCACATTCGGGTATGCTTCATGTTTTCTAACCATAAAGAGGTGCTCTTTGTAAGTTTGATTGCCACTAAATTGACAATCTAATTATAAGGTACCTCCTTAAAGTCAAGAACTCATTCCATAGTATGCAGCCAATTCAAGAATTTATTAGGATCTAATTTTCCATCAAATTCTGGAAGATCAATTTTGATCCCGACGTCATCTCGGTGTAAGGGTCGACCCTGCATCGGTCTCCTCCTTCGGTTTTCATCTTCACTTGACAATTCTTTGTGAAATGGATTAATAACTTCTTCTTCTTCTTGATGATTGGCTATTTCCCTTTGATCTCTTCTTTCTAGTTCTTGTTGCAACTGTTGGATCTCTTGCCTTAAGTTTTCAATCACCACGTTGTGTACCGATCATTGATGATTCCTACGTGGTGGCAACTTTCCAGCTCTGATACCAAATGAGAATGGATAGAAGCCGAAGAGGAATCCGTTGGTAGCTCACGACGGTAGAAAATAGGGCCAACAGCCCTTGGTTCTTGAGTTCCAACCTCCTGCACACAAGAACGTCTCACAAGTGTCTATTCTGAGCAACACCCGAATTACACTAAGGATGCATAAAAATAGAGGACTCAAATAAAGAAAACAAGTTTTTAATTCAACAGCCTAATAAAAACTTTATTTATTCATCATTTTTTGACTATTTATAGTTACAAGAGTTTCATCCTAATTCATAATACGCAATAGTGTAGCCACTTATTCAGCTATACAATTGAAAAATAGCTGGGTTAGCATATAGCTCCGACATCAGAAACTCACATAGTGCTTACGTGTTAATATAAAAGGAGGATTATAGATCCTTAGAGGGATCCAAAACTCGCTAAATGCTCGAAGAGCTATATCAAAAACGAAATTAAAACCTAAGAGTAACGGATCTTTAACTAGTTACATAAGGAAAACTGAAAAGGAAGGCAAGCAGTCAGTCCTAAAAAAATGCAGTCCTAGCTTAATTGATCAATTAAGCACCCAAAGAGAGATGTACGTAAACTGCAAAACAGAAAATAAGATAGTAAAAAAACACCATGGCAACAACACAGAGAAGAACCGGAAGGAAGACCAAGTGAACCAAATCTACCCAACGAGCCAAAGCATTGCAGTTAGCTGTGAAAATAGGAGTGACTACTCAACGATAAATGTGTGATGGAAATTGATTAAGATGGTTTGTATAAATTAAATTGTCACAACCTTACCCAATAACAAAGAGTTGCATTTCGTCAACGTACTAAAACCATTTTGCAACCAATCAATGTTCCTTTGATAAATTCTAACAAGAATTATCTTGATGAAAATGCAGACTCAGATCATGTTGAATCAGATGGAAGAGTTAAAGAAAAAGGTGAATGCTTTATTAAGTTTTCTTATTATTGTTTTTGAAAATACATTAGCGTACAAATTATTACTGTTACTGGATTTTTATTTGTTTCATAATTTAACCTTACTTTTCAGACTTTGAGTAGATACCATCTTAATCAATGTTTGTTTTATTTTTCTTTCACTTATTATACTATTCACTTTGACATTTTTCAGTCTAATTAAATGATTAGGTGATATTGATTACTCAAATCTTTCTACATCGTCTCCAGTTAATATTTTGTCACGTACATGTTTGGTTTTGATGCAAATTGATTTCTTTTATTTGATGTAATGATGTGAGGAGAAGCATATGGTATATCTTAATTTTATTGAAAATTTTTTTTTTTTGATTAGGAAGAAAATAAGGAGGATCAGTTTTATGTAGTATTAATTGAATTAGTATGAACAAACACTGCGTGTTGTCTATCAGTTTTTCAATGTGCACAAAGCTTGCAGTTATTTAGTTACTTATTATTATTATTTTTAATTTATGCTGAAAAGGGAATCGATCCGCGATGAATCATTGAATTTGCTATGCATTTTGTAGTTCATATAAATTAATGACAACCATGCAGGTTCCTGTCGTACTGTTTCGTCTTAATTTTCTCTTAAAGCAATATGAGCTTTTTGTTGGATTCAATGTTGTCTGTAAACTCATCAAAATTTTCTGTGTTAGATAGAGCCTGAATTAGGACACATGGGCAGATGTAAGTCTCAGCGGTGGCAAGAATTACCGTGTAGTCTTGTTGATTGTTTGATAAGAAATACGTTCAGGAAAAAAAAAAAAAAAAGCTTTTTTAGAAACTTCTCTAACTGCAAGGCCTGAAATCAGATAAAGTAATTTCATAGAACTGGACTTTAACTTCTTTGCATTTTAAATGTCAATTTTGTTTAATTGAACGCACCCATTTTCTTTATTACGGTGTCAGGAGCGTCATCTGGGTGATATTAACAAGCAGCTTAAACATAAGGTTGGACCTTAACCTGCATCTGCAATTTTCTTGCTGATTCCTCATTCCAGTACGCTATCAATGTATTAAAAAAAATAAGTATTTCAGCTTGGAGCAGATGGTGGATCGATGAGGCCTCTCCAGGGCTCCTGGCGGTCTGATGCTGGAGCTAGTATCGATGCTTTCCCTAATCATTCCAGCAACATGGACACCGAACCCACTCTTCAAATTGGGTATGTATTGAGTTGATGATAGCAGGAAACCCAAATTTGAAGAATATCTAATGAGGATATTTTTATTCCTTCTAAAAAAACTAAAATATAATGGTAACATTTTGGTTTTTTAAAGTTTGGCATGTACACATCATGTCTTTATGTACATTTTATGTTAAAATGACACAAATCCATTGACTCCTTGATCCCATCATTTTTCACTATTATTTCTTTTTCATTCTTTCATTCTAAAATGTCTGTTATGTTTATTTTTTGATTAGGAGGTACCATCAGTATGTTCCTTCCGAAGCAACTATTCCGAGGAGTAGTGGAGCTGGAAATGGTTTCATGTCAGGATGGGCTGTTTAAGAGTTTGATCCATTGCTCCCTTAGATGTAATTTCAAAGCTAGTGTTTGCTTATGTTTAATAACATACTTAACTGTCTGTTAGAGGCCTTTTCTGAACTCTTACATTATGACTATTTTAAGTATCAAACATATGTTAATATTTGATTGCTAGCTTTAATATGCTGGTCCAAGTGCTATATAGCCATTTTAGTTTACTAGGGCTTCAATGTGCAAGGAGTTTTAGTTATTTTGCTGCTTAGAATAGTTACTATTTGCATCATATGGTCTCACTTTATTTTGATATATACATATATATGGAAATGAATAAGTTGTCATATTTAAAAAAAAGCCAAAAATAATATTTTGTCATATATTTAATTTATAAGCTAAAATATCTTATAATGAGATTTTATAAAAGTATGATTATATTACACAAATACTTTGTGGGGAGGGAGATATTGTCTAGTGCGCTGATCATGGATATATTACACAATTTACTTGCTGATTCTTCATTCCATTACGTTATCAATCTATTGCACTTTGCTAGCTTCTTGGATTGTAGTGGAGCTTCTAATTATTATTTTTTTTGTTAAAACCCGTTAAATGGCCTAAGTGTTTGTAAGCTCTGAAAATTCGTCTCCGGCCTCCGCCCGCTTTGCTTTTTTTTTTTTTTTTTCTTCAAGGGGTGTTTTAACATATTTAAGTTTCTGGGTATATTTTGAAAGATAGATGAGGTTGTAGATAAGACACTACCTAGAGATTTCGCCCTAATTTTGTGATGACTTTATGATATGAGTTCTGATTTCCTATAGGCGCAAGCCCCTATAGTTAATTACCCCTCCCGGTAATGAGAGAGAACTTTCAATTAAGGCTAGTAGTAAATCAGATACGTATAAATACATGTTATCTGGCATATAGTAGCAGTATGGATTTTGAAATTACTAAATGACAAGAGGGGGGGGGGGTGAATTGTGAAAAATTTTTTCTCAATAAAAGGTAACCCTAAACAGGAGTTCTAATCTTTTTGTTATTTTTGAAATTTGACAACAAAAACTTAAACAAATTTTCTTCCACAAATTTCACCACGCAATAATTATGAAAAATTAAGTGCAAGTAAAAGTAAATGACGATAAGGAAAAAATACACCAAGGATTTTTATAATGGTTCGGTCAAAATATGACCTAAGTCCAGTACTAATTAATCAACCTCATCAAATTTTATGTTGGACATAATAAGATAGTAGTGACGGATAAGGTCGGGGTCAGTTGATACGGTCGCCACTTTGGGTATTATTGAGGTTCGAAGGACATGTTGAATTATTCGGGCATTTCGAGTTAAGGATTGAACGAGAGGTTGGTGTGATGGAAAGTAGCATTCCTAAGGGCCTCTATTAACATCGCTCCAATCGAATTTCAGTAAGAAATGAGCGAACCATAGGTTTTTCAGTGGACAACCCATATATTGGGCAATGTCGGCTGTAGTGATCTCAATGTTTCGGCCACAAACAAACGAGTGAAAGGTGGTGTTGTCGACAGTGTAGGTGAGATTGGCGAGAAATTCGAGAGAAGTTCAGAATTGTAGGGAATGCCAGGGTGAGTAGGAATTGGAAGGTGTTGGAAGCAAAGAGGCCCATTACCTCGAAATTAAGAGCAGCCTGATTAAGTTTTGGAGGAGAAATTTTACAGGCTTTATATCTGTGGTAGGCTTCCTCATTTTCAGTATTCAAAAATGAGCAGGTGGGCAACTCGACGAGGATGAGCTTCCAGCATTCAATCGACCTCGTTTAGACATTGCAGAGAGCACGAAACTAGGTGAAGGAGTGAGTGAGGAAGATTTTGAGTGAAAGGACAGCCTAGCAAAGGGTTCTTATAGAAATTTGACAATGTACAGTAGACGATTTCGAATGTACAGTACGATAGGCAATCAATATCCTGACCGGTCGTTTCGGGAAAAGGTAGTCAAATCGTATATTATGATAAATATCGTATAGTACGATTAGACGAATTTCAACCGTCCCGAGGCCCTCAGTACGACTTTTGACCAAAAGTTTCGTACTGTACGAACAGGTGTATCGTACAGTACGATCCATAATAAATATCGTACCAAACAGCTTAACTCATATTTATTCCTTGTGCTGATGTGTATCGTACGTACGAAAGGTATATATTGTACATTACGATAATTAGTAATGTCGTACCAACCGGATTTAATTTGTCCCAATCCTTTGCTGACGTGTATCGTATCATACGAAGAAGATATATCGTACAATATGATAGGCAATAATTTCGGATGCATATCGTACAGTACGATGTAGGTCGTACCGTACATACGATTAACAGTCAAGGCATAGTTGGTGGACGTTATGTAGATTGAGATGTATCGTTCGGTACGATATGTGTATCGTACAGTACGATTAACAGTCAAGGCATAGTTTTTGTGTGGTGAGTGTGTGATGATCAGGAGCAACCCTATTTTTTTTAAAAAATTGTTTTTTTGTTTTTTTTTTTTGTTTTGTTTTTTTGTTTTTTGTTTTTTTTTTGTTTTTTTATGCAGTTATATCTATGACACTAATCTAGTCTCAAGGTGCTAAGGTGTCAAAAGCTAGAGGTTTTGTGAATATGTCTGCTAGTTGATCTCCTGTAGCGATGTGATGCAATTCTATATCTCCCTTTGTGACGTGATCTCTAATGAAATTGTGTCTAATGTCTATGTATTTTGTTCGAGAGTGCTGAATTGGGTTCTTAGAGATGCAAATTGCACTTGTGTTGTCACACATTATCGAGATGGTTCCAACAGGTAGTCCAAGATCAAGAATTTGCTATTTTAACCATAGTACCTATGCAACACACTTCCTATTGCATATATTCTGCCTCTGCTATGGAAAGTGCTACTGAGTTTTGTTTCCTACTGGACCATGAAACTAATGATTGTCCTATGAATTGGCGGTACCAGAGGTGCATTTTCTATCTATCATACATCCTGCAAAATCACGAATCTAAGTACCCTAAGATTTCAAAGGAAGTGCTGTGTCTGGGATACCAAATTCAAGTTTGGGGTATTAGTAGATATCTAAGAATTCTTTTGACAGCAGTTAAGTGAGACTCTTTAGGATCGGCTTAGAAACGGCACAAAGGCACATACTAAATATTATGTCTGGTCTACTAGCAGTAAGGTAAAGAAGTGATCCAATCATTCCTCTATATTTTTTTCTGATCTACTGATTTTCCACTAGGATCTTTATCTAATTGTTGTCGAACTCATTGGGGTGTTCATGGGTTTTGCACTATCTTCATATTTCTTTAAAATATCCTTAATATACTTTTGATTGGCTAAGAAAAGTTCCTTATCCATTTTTTTTACACTAAAGCCAAGAAAGTAATTAAGTTCTCCATCATGCAATTTCAAACTCATTACTCATTATTTTTGAAAATTCATCGCATAACATTTTATCTGAAGATCCAAATAAAATGTCATCCACGTATATCTGACAAATGAGAATTTCTTCTTTGACCTTTTGTAAAAAGAGTATAGTATCTACACTACCCTTTTTGAATCATCTATCCAAAAGAAATGAGCTGTCTTTTGTACCATGCTCTAGGTGCTTGCTTTAATCCATACAGTGCCTTCTTTAATTTGAATACATGGTTTGAAAATTATGAACTTTCAATCGGGGGGTTGCTCAACAATAGATCTTCCTTAATTACCCCTTCAATGCACTCTTTACATCCATTTGATTAACTTAAAGTTCTTGAAGCAAGCAAAAGCTAAGAGCCTCTTATGGCTTCTAGTTCTAGCAACGCGGGAAAGGTTTCTTCAAAGTCTATCTCTCAATTTGGTTGTACCCTTAGCTACTAGTCTTCTTTATTCCTTATTATTGTTCCTGAATCATTCACCTTATTCTTTAAAGACCCATTTTGTTCCAACAACACTTTGTTCTATAGTTCTCTTGAAACTTCCAAACATCATTCCTGGTGAATTGGTTCAGCTCTTCTTGCATTGCTAGAATTAAAATTCATCTCCTAGGCTTGATCTATTCAAGATGAAGCACTTGCACCCAAAGACATGAAAATGTGAAGGTTGGTGTCCTACCCTTAAGGAGTTCATATGGAGTTTTATTCAGCTTCGATCTAATGTTTATCTGTTTAAAACTAACAGCTGTGTTGACTGCTTCTTCCAAAAAGTATCTAAGAAGGGTATCTTGCTAATATTGCCCTAGCAGCTTCTACCAAAGTTCTTTTTTCCTTTATGTTATACCATTTGTTGGGGTATTCTAGGGGCTGAGAAATATGTTATATTCCTATCTCTTGACGAATGACTCAAACCTTCATTTTTGGAACTCTCCACCATTGATCGCTATGGATTGTTGATATTCAAACCTAATTTTCGTTGAATCCATGTGGAGAAAACTTTAAATTCTCAAAGACTCATTTTTGTGTGCTAAGAATCTTACCCAAGTAAACTAGTGAAGACATCTACAATACAAATCCATAATTCTTTCCACCTAGACTGGCTGTACTAACGGGTCCAAATAAGTCCATGTGTAGAATTTCTAGTGGCCTAGAGGTGATCACATCTCTAATTGATTGAAAGGATGATTTGACTTATTTTCCTAGTTGGCAAGCATCACATAAGTGATCTTGGTAAAGTCTAACTTAGGTACTACACCTCTAACTAGGTTTTTCTGAGTGATGTTTCTAAGAGTTTTCATACTAGCATGCATAGTCTCCTATGCCATAGCACGAGTCATCAACTATTGTTTTCAAACAGAATGAATTTGAGCTATCAATGCAATCAAGGTCTAACATGTAAACATTGTTCATTCGTTTTCCTTCTAAACTAGTTTATCAAATAAACTAATCAGACATTTATCAGATAAAAATTTATTGTCAAACCTTTGTCACACAATTGACTAATGCTAAGTAAGTTATGCTTCAAACCATCAACTAATAGAACATTTTTAATTAAAAATTCTTAGCATTACCATAATACCTGAGCCTATCACTTCCTGGTATAGTGTTGTT